GTTGCTTAATTTCATATTGTAAGATAAAAATTATAGTGATAGAAAACATAGGTTTCTTTATTTATTTACTTTTGTACTCGACAAGGACCAGTCACTGTAAGGTCAGCAAAGATTGATACAGTTGTTTTCTCTGTATTACCAAGGTTACGAGCCCCGAGCAAGCTGTGGCAGAACTGGAAAGTCTTCTTGGAATTTCACTGAGTGGAGAAGTGCCAGGCACTACCGAGGTACCCAAACGCCTACTGCTGGATGAAGGAAAGCTGGAGAACTATTTAAAGTCTCTAGGACTTGAGGATACAAGTAGGTGTCGGCGTCATTGTACAATTTACCGTCATTGAAAGTGGGGGGGGGGGCTCAGTAGCTCAGTAAGAAATATAGTTATTATTATTCGGAGCATTTGCTTTCTGTTTAACCCCATGGTAGTTGTGAATATTGACTGCCTTTTTGTTTGCAATTACAAATTCCTAAATTTTTAGTTATTTTCACATAATAATAGATAGCATTTGTATAGCGCATATCCCCGCTCAAAAGTAGGCTCTATGCGCTTTACACTATATTATTACCCCAGCAGACCACAGAGCACTCCGAAACATTCTCAGCTTCCCGGGAAGCATACAGTGCGAGCAGCCGATTAAGCGCTCAAACACTAACAAACTGACAAGATCTTTCGCTGTCTATAGCCGGGTACCCATTCCCACCTGGGTGAAGTGAGGAAAATAAGTGTAAAGTGCCTTTCCCAAGGACACAACGTCAGGCCCCTGACGGGATTCGAACCTACGACCTTACGGTTGTGAGTCCAAGAGCCTAACCACTAGGCCACCGACGCCACATAATCTCAGTGTCATCCCTGAGTAAGATGTTGTTGATGGGTGCTCTAGTGTGGTTTGCTCCTTCTTTCCTTTGGTGTTCTCCTGTCAACCTGGAGGTATGGAGTTCAGTCCCCACCAGTGTCTGATTTTTTCTTCTCATCATGTTTTCTACACCCCCTAATCGTAGTTTGGTCGAGCACCCAGTCTTTTCTGATTTATATGAGGATAAAAAATTTCGAAGGTTTCGTGTGGAACTTCCATACTTTAAAGATCAGTTGGCGATTCTAATATTGAAAAAAGTGTGCCACCTGGGCCACTATGTGGGCAAAATTAAAAACTAACGCCATTCTAGTCAGTATAAATACTAATAGTTTCTTTGAAAATAGCTCATGTCTGCCTGCCAGACTGGGGATGATTCTATGTTCTATGTATATTTTCCTTAGTAATACGGATACTATTTCAGATCAAGTTCTGGTCATCATTTTTATGTATGCAATGAACTTCTCCGTGACGCATGGTCAGTTAGCACTTCACTGAGCACTGTTTCGTTTCTCCAGGGAGGAAGAGTAGTGCTCAATTAAGCAGTTAATTGCCTATATTTAGATCCGGTTTGTAAATATTACAAACTGTGGCTTAAAGGAAAAGGTTTCTTTGTGTAGAAAAAGTAAGGCTGAATTTGAATCTGCAATTAGTTTTACTAGATGCATGCGGAATAAAAGTGGTACACCGAATACAAAGCACTTGTCCTTATGGTCCTCGCGCTTCGCATGGCATGACAAATGCCGTCTGTCACACCAGCATCTTGCCTCCTTCGCAACTTAAAAAAAATTAAATGACGAAAGACACTCGTCATATAGATCACAAATGGGTTAAGTTATTGTGCATTGTTGGTACATCTTTCAAATCCATGATTCTATTTCTCTCATGTTTGGATCAATAACAACAACAATAACAACTCTTGATCAATAACATTTATCTCATGTTTGGATCAATAATAACAACAATGACAACTCTTGATCAATAACATTTATCTCATGTTTGGATCAATAATAACAACAATAACAACTCTTGATCAATAACATTTATCTCATGTTTGGATCAATAATAACAACAATGACAACTCTTGATCAATAACATTTATCTCATGTTTGGATCAATAACAACAACAATAACAACTCTTGATCAATAACATTTATCTCATGTTTGGATCAATAATAACAATGACAACTCTTGATCAATGACATTTATCTCATGTTTGGATCAATAATAACAACAATGACAACTCTTGATCAATAACATTTATCTCATGTTTGGATCAATAACAACAACAATGACAACTCTTGATCAATAACATTTATCTCATGTATTTTCATGTTTTTCAGACCCCCCTTTCATCCGAGTGTTTGAACATGGCCAGTCAAATCCAACATATTTTGTTTCATATGGGGGTCGACGTATGGTGCTGAGGAAAAAGCCAGTATGTTACTTTTCATTACGTTTCCTATTTTCTTACTTACTTTTTCCATTCCCTTTTGCTGATACTGGTGGGCGTTGAGGGAAGATGAAAACGTCTCTCTGCAGCCAGACTAGTGTTAGCTCAGGTGGTATCATGTTGGACTATGAAAAGGATGGCCCCGGTTCAAATCCCGAACTGGTCGTTCTGGACTTGGGTTGATTTTGGGAACTTTTAAGGCCCTCCACCCATTTGGGTCATTCCTATCTGAGGGAGTTCTTCTGTATATGATTAAACTGGCTCTTTTGTGCATATGAAATATTTCTTCTTGGGTGTGTGGGATTTTACTCTCAGTAATCATGTCATTGATATAAAGGGCTCAGAGCTTTTACTTGTATTGGATTGAGGACTATACAAATGCAATCTTTTATTATTATTATTATTATTATTATTATTATTATTACTATTATTATTATTATTATTATTATTGATAGACAATAGGAAACACTTTCACATACATAAGAATGAATTGCACTGCTGGTTGAAGAACCGGTAGTTGACTACCCCTGAGATTAGCAGGGAAACGCAAAAAGAAGAAAGACCGTAAAGTAGCCTTATGTCTCTTTATTTTGTTTTGTCTCTTTTCCCAGCCTGGAAAGTTGCTCCCCTCAGCCCACGCTGTTGACAGGGAGTTTAAAGTCATGTCAGCCGTCCAGAAGGGAGGGGTTCCAGTTCCTAACATGATTGCATTCTGTGATGACGTCAAGTATGTTCTTTATATTTTAATCTTGTGTTTTTGGGATAAGGTTTAGTAGAGAATCCACAAGGAAAAAGAGAGAAAAGATGGCCAAAAAATACTAGGAGGAGGGTATTATATTCTGATCTAAAGAAAGTGGAATACAGTGGGACATAGGTGGAAACCAAAGCCCAGTACATAAGTACATGGAGAGCTCTTGTTGGTGGCATATACTCCATTACAAGGTGAGGAAAGGTTGATGATGACGATGATGATTTGTTAATGGCATGAGATTCACTCACATTTGTACTGTGTAAGGCTTGATTCTCACTTCCACTGAGTGATAAATATCCTTAGAAAAGTTTGGGAAAGGCACTTATCCTTTATTTTGGTCAGTTTATCCAGGGAATTAAAAGTGCATTTGACATCATAGCCGTCAGCTTTTTCATTATTCTTACTTTGCATACTGTGCCTCTTTCTGTGGGCTTATAAAAATTATTTTGTGTCCAAAATGTGTTGCACTTAACAAAACAAATAAATGGAGGAACTGTATTTTACAGCGTGGCGGGCACACCTTTCTACTTGATGGACTATGTACATGGAGCTGTGTATAAGGAACTTGAGCTTCCCGAGATGACTTCGCAGCGAAAACGTGACACTGTCATGGCCATGGTGGATGTATTGGTCAAGATTCACACTGTCGATGTGGATGCGGTCGGCCTCTCAGACTATGGCAAGAAAGGTGAGACTGAGGTTTCTTAGCATTCAGCAAAAGTTGTTCACTGAACAGGTATTGAGGATAGAAAAATGTTTTGAATGGATATATAAGATACTATTTTTTTTCAAGGGTGGAATATTGTGTTCATATCTTTTTGTGATAGGACAGGCTGCAAACCTATAAGGCTTTTGGAACTAATGTCAAAATTATCTAAGACGGCCATCCACTAAAGAGTGGTTGATGCATAGTGAGAAGTGGCCGTTTGCAAGGGGTTTTACTTATACAGGTGGCCATTAGCGTAAGTTCGACTGTACTTAGAATACCACTTGCATGCATGTGTGATGAAAGAGAAGGCGTATGAATGTGTGGGTGCATGCATGAATAACTCTGTGCGTGTGTATGTTGTGTGTGTGTGTGTATGTGTAAATGTATGTGTGTGTGGGATTTCTTCATTCATATGAACAAATATAATTTTTTTTCACAGCTATAATTTATTGTTCATTACACTTGGATTTGTGTAAAGTGCCTAGAGCTGTGTGCACACAGGAGAAGTCACTATAAAAATGATGTACATTATTATTAATATTGTCTGTTTGTCAGGTCGTATTCTAGTCCATGCATGGATGTGTGTATGAATTTGTGTGTGTGTGTGTGTGTGTGGGTGTCTGTGCGTGTGTAGGGCCACCTATCCCAGACAGTCATCTGTCCAAAGGACCTCTTCCCTCGTGCCCCCCTTCCCTTGCATTTTTTTCACATTATAATAACACTTTCCTAGATGTCCATCTGTCTGAGACAAACACTGTTGTCCTCAACAATCAGTGGCTGTTTAACCTCTTCATTGCTGAGAGTTATTCATCCTAATTTTTGCTGAGTAGACAAAATGTTAATTTATGAGAGATTGTAATTAAAGCCATAATATATTTCCCATATTTAAGATTAAACAACAGCTTAAGTCTTTATTACATCTTCTGAAACTTCACCTATAAACCAGTAGAAAAACGGCAGAGAACCAGTTTGGGAGAACCTAAACGAGTACATACGCTTACACAGCAGTGAAGGGGTTAAAACAACCACTTTTGTCCTCTACAATGGGTGTCGTCGTGGACAATTTTGATCGTGTCATGATTTGTAACTTTTTCATATTTCCTTCTATGTTTGCTATCAGGTCAGTACATGGAGCGCAATTTCAAACGCTGGGCGTCTCAGTATGAGCTGAGCAAGACACGGGAGATTCCAGCTATGACAAAACTTATGGAGTGGCTTCCTCACAATTTCCCCAAGGATGAGAAAGTGACAGTGGTCCACGGAGATTTCAGGTGATTTGAGCTGAGAGCTCACCCGGCCACTTTAGCTCGTACTAACAGAATACTGTTTTTGTATCTAGCTTAAACATTAGTACTGTTGTTAACAATAATATTGTTCATTTATACTATACTATATGCATTTGACTGTATGTCTGTTTGTGATAGCAAGCATATAAATTAAGTGTGTATGTGTGCAAATGTGTGTGTGGAAGAAAGGATTGTCTGTGTAGGTGTGGTGCTGTGTATTTTGTGACTTACAAGCGCTGTTCTTTTTGAGAAAGTTGGTGGTTAGTGGGTGCTCTGGTGTGGTTTGCTCCTTCTTTCCTGTCAAACATCTATTGTCCTTATTAAATTGCTCCTCCTCCTTTTTCTTGTTTGTTACTCTCCTGTATCACCTCTAATCTTCAGCATTCAGATGTGTTTGTTAGTTTTGTAATATCTCTAATCGTCGACACTTATATGACCCAACTATGTTGCCAGTACCATGAAACTCTTGCTAGACAATTTTTTAGAAGCATTTCTCACAAACTGAGCACAAGGGCTCAAACCAAAACCTGCATCTTCCAGGATTGACAACCTGATGTACCACCCTGACCGCCCTGAGGTCCTGGCAACTTTGGACTGGGAGTTATCTACCCTTGGTGACCCCATCTCTGACCTGGCCACTGCTTGCCTTGCGTATTTCCTACCCAGAGACAACCCTTTGCTGCCAGGTAAGATCCAAGTTTTCGTATGTGTGAGTTCTGCCCCAGCAGGAGGGAAAAAAATTAATAAAGGAGTAATGAGAAAAACACTGTAGGATCTCTCTGTATCTCTCTTTGTCTTTGTCTCTCCCTGTCACTCTTTGTCACTCCCTGTCTCTATCTCTGTCTCTGTCTGCCTGTCTGTCTGTCTGTCTGTCTGTCTGTCTGTCTGTCTGTCTCTCTGTCTGTCTGTCTGTCTGTCTGTCTATC